CACACACACACACACACACACACCTTCCGTAAACAAGTTGTGTCGCCTTCGGGCTACGACCGCTTCTAGACCAGATCCCCAGGGCTGCTTCCCCCCTCTTCGCTGAGAGGAGAGTCCCCCCCCCAGCTGCGACCAGGGGCATCAGCCAAGTGAGGAAGCCATTTCAGAAAGACACAAGAGCAGCTGCAGGCAGCCAGGCAACCCCGACACACACACCCGACCCACAAAGCAAGAGGATGGTGTGCCTTGCTTTGCAATGACAACCGTCCTAAATCCCGATTTAACGATGTGAGGATCAAGTGGGTGAGGGGGGGGGGAGGAAGTCAGCCAGGTGTGCAGCTTTTGAGCTCCCTGGATTATAGACTGCGGTCTATTCCTGGAAAAGATGAGAGGAATCATCCTCGCAGCCGACGGAAGCCCTAAAAGGGGTGGGGGGTGCGGGCCGGAGGAACTTTCCTGAGCAGATCCAAGTTTACAAATGCTGACGGCCGACCACAGAAAGGGGGGTTTGAGGAGGGAAGGCGGACTTGTTCAGCTAACGACGCCGAGGCTAGCCTCGCACCAGGATGGGGAAAGAGAGCTCCCGCGGCTCCCGCCTCCCTGCCCACACTAGAGAACCACGCGCCCTCCGCGGCTGCTGCCGGCTCGCTAATGGCGCGGCCGCATCTCCTCACCCGCTACATCTTCTCGATCCGCCGCGTCCCAATGGGCAAGGCGTGCGGGCAGGGGCAGGCAAGAGGCACCTGTCCCGGGGGGGAAAAACCCCGCCCTCGTCGCTGCCGAGAACTCTCTGGGGGTCACTCTCGTCGCCGACTCCCCCACCACAGGGAAACTTGGCGCGTTTTGCACCCTGCCAGGACCCCACCCCCTCCTCCTCCTCCCGCGTTTCTCGCGCCGCGAGTTTCTGAGGTGTCCAACGAGTGCCCGTTTAAAATAATTTTAAAAAAAACCAGGCCCAAACTTTAGGGCGGGAACAGAGGGGGCTCCGGGGCGCATTTGTTGGTCGTTTCTGTTTCTTTTAAAGGTCAGTGGAGTGATTGAGGACTCTTCTGCCGGGTTATTAAATCAGGCAAATCTCCTGACACCTAAAAAGGGACCTAACAGAATGCGCGCGTGCAGCGCTAGAGGCCTGGCTAAAAGGCTCTCAGCCTCCGACATGGGAGGCAGGTTGGAGAGAGTGAAAGGAAATGGGGGGCGTGCCCCCCTGACCACGCCCCCCTCGTATAGTTTAAGCACTCGCGGCTGGTGCGCTTTAAGAACGCTGCGCGACGTTTAAACGGGCCCAGAGTATAACGGTTGCTGGAAAGGGGCGGAGCATGAGAGGAGAAGACCTGGGGGGGGGAAAGGGGCGGCGAATCTAATTTAGCGGGTCTAGAGATTCAAGGCGTTGCTCAGTTGACGTTTTCTCGGAGAGTAGCGTTAACTCAGCTGTTGCAAGCGTAGCTTGTAACGTAAGATGCGTTACTTTTTCAGACTGGCTGAACTGCGTTCCGCCGTGAACTGGGGGGAGGGCGCGTCGCGCTTGGTAGGGAGTTTACATTTCTTGGCCGGTTTTATACAAGAAATCGGAGAGAAACTTCTGGGGTGCTGATTCGCAAACACTAACTGAAGCGGAAGTTTTAAAATACAGCCCTGCAAGCTGTTGATACGTATATATTTATGCAACACTGTGTGAGTGTGTGTGTGTGAGAGAGAGAATGAGCCGGGTTGTTTTATTTGCATAGAATATGACTTTAATAAAGTCAGGTTGCTATACTGTACTGTATAAGGTAGGTGTCAGAAGGGCTTAACATGTAACTAAGGCAGGGTCTCATACAACAATATGTACCTCAGACAGGAATAAAGATGTAACTGACTAATATGTAATAGGGCTAGTTAGGGCTTGTGAATGTAGAAGTGTCACAATAGAAGAGTTAAGGATTTAGCAGAGAAAATATGTCTGTGATACCAAGCGTTTAAGTTAAATATGATGTTTATGAATGTTGTTTGGTCATTAAGTCGTGTCCGTTAAGTCGAGTAATTTGTCCGGCCACACTAAATGCTAAAGCAGCAGCAATGCTTGGCAAAATATCAAGAGCCTGACATGTAAGTAAAGGTGATTCTCTGAACTAACAAGCTGATTTACAGACAGACAGAGAAGGATTAACTTACGGGCCAGTCATATAACTCTTTCTGACTTTTGTTGTTTACTCGTTTAGTCGTGTCCGACTCTTTGTGACCCCATGGACCAGAGCACGCCAGGCCCTCCTGTCTTCCACTGCCTCCCAGAGTTGGGTCAAATTCA